GTTTTTCATCACTTTAAATATTTCATGCCAGTCCCTTCCGGTCTGAAATGTTCCTGTTGGGAAATCAGCTGACAATCCTATGGGAGCTCCCTTGCACATAAATGTCTTTCTCTTGTTGCTTTCAAGATTCTATTTGTTGTTAACCTTTGCTGTTTTAATTATGATGTGTTGTTGTAGGCCTCTTTGTTTTCATCCTGTTTGGGACAATCTGTGCTTCATAGACTTGAGTGTCCTTTTCCTTCACCAGGTTAGGAATATTTTCACCCATTATTTCTTCAAATAGGTTTTCAATCCCTTGCTCTCTGTATTCTCCTTCTGGTAGCCCTAAGGTGCAGATGCTGTTACACTTCATGTTTTCCCCAAGGTGCCTTAAACTATTCTCATTTTTTTTAATTCTTTTTAAATTTTTGTTCCTGTGTTTATGTGTTTTCTTCTACATTGTCTTCCAAATCACTGATCTGATCCATGGCTTTATCCAACCTGTTCATTCCTTCCAGTGTAATCTTCATCTCAGATGTGGTAGTCTTCATTTCTGGCTGGTTCTTTTTTATGGTTTCTATGTCTCTTTTCACATTGTTGCTCTTACTAGTTCCTTGAGCATCCTTATCATTTTTTCTACTCAGTATCTGATAAATTGTTTGCCTCCATTTCAGTAAGCTCTTTTTCTGGAAATCCTTCCTGTTCTTTCAGTGGGGGATGTTTCTATCTCCTCATTTTTGGCTTCCTCTTATGTTTGTTTCTATGTATTTGATAGATCTGTTGTGACTCCCAATCTTGGTTGGGTGGCCTTACATAGTAGGTGTCCTGTGGGAAGCAGTGGCGCAGTCTCCTTGATCACCTGAGCTAGGTGCTCCACGATGTCTTCTGTGTGTTATGTGAGCCCTCCTGTTGTAATTGAGTCTTGCTGTTGGCCCATTCATGCATGGGGTCAACCCTCAGGCTGGCTGACCATGAGTATCAACCCTGAGCACAGTGTATGGTCTGCTGTGCAGTTGCTGACCACATGAAGAATTTATTTCAACAGGGTCTCATGTCTGCTGAGATCTTCCTTTGGATGTGCTGCTTGTAAAGCTAATTATATCCTCCTCTGACATTGTCTGAAGCTGGCTATTGGGTGTGTTTGTTCTGGGGCCTCTTCGGAGGGACTCTGATGCAGTACAATGTAAGATGCTGCCTGTGACTGGCCCTGGGAAATGTGTTTGGAGCTACAGAGCAATTCATACTTTATGGCTGCCTCTGCTGGGCCTGGGTGTGTGCAGGAAGGAGAAGCTGTGTACCAAGGCTGACTTTTACCAGCACCAGGCTCAGGGGAAGGATAGCAAAAGTCCTTAGGAATCCCAAGGTCTGCCTCCAACTGTCTCCACCTGCCAGCAATTTTTGCAATGGAGAAGATATGAGCTAGATGCTAACATCCTCAGTGAATGTAGGAGGTGTGACCAGAGAGATGAACACAAAAACTTTGTTGGGAATTGTAACGTACTTCTTACGTATCCTAAACCCTTCATGCCTATCACAGTGTCCTTCACTCCTGAAACATGTTTGACTGACAATATAAATCCTCCCCAGAGTGATGTTCCACATCCTCTCTGAACTTAAACCTCTTCTGAATCATTCTCTTCGTTCAAAAAATCACCTGTTCTGAAACTGTATCAAGTTGCCTCAGCCAATTCAATACTGTGGGATAGAAAAGAAACTGCTGAGTTAACTCTATGTGGTCAGGTTAGCTAGATCACTAAAAATAATGCATCTATGGGCATAGCTATAGATAGATTCGTATGGAACATTTAACAAAGATTATCTATACTAGAATATATAAAAAATCATTTTTATTGAGGAGCATAGGTAGGTTGTGTACGTGTGTTGAATTTATTAATTGCACTTGTTATAATCGAAGACACTTAAGACTTTTCTTATGATCAAGTCAAGAGGGATGTCTATCAATGGGGCAATTTGGCACAGCTAGTTATGTTGGCTATTCACAGCTAAAAATATCATGCATCACACAAAACAATTTCCAGTAGCATTGGGCTAGTTGCCACCATCATGTTCCACTTTCCTTGAGTTGGTAGCTATGAGCTACAAACTGACAGTAACCCGTCCTGCTAACAATTCATGAGTCAGCACAAGTTCCAGGTCCTCTCATTCCTCCACCTCTCATGCCCATGATTACTGTGATACAAGAAGGGGAGAAAGGTTTACCATTTTGGAAAGGTTGTTAACACGTTGTTTAGGTGAGTACATAAGGAATCTATCACTTAATAATCATAAACTGAAATAAGGCCAGTCCCTCTTTTCTCCTGTCATCAATGCTAATCTCTCTTAATTTTGTTCATTCTTGTTAATATCTGCAATTTTATTCTTACTTCTTTTTAAGAGCTAGGAAATAGCTGGGTGTCCTAGTCTTATTTCTTATTTTTCAATAGGCTATACGTTTTTAGTCTCTGTTGATTGTTAGGTTGTAGAATTATTTGTGTGTAATAGGCTCTTCCACAGCCATAGGCAGCAGAAAATTCTTTCTGACAAGCTGTGGCAAGTTTAATTGAGTCATGACATATTCCATCATACAGCTTCCAGTGAGGCAAACAGTCCTTTTCCTAAGGTAGCATATGCTTTTGCAGTTTCAACAGGACTATGGTCTCACATGACTGAATAAATGACTTCCTTCACTTATAAAAAGTTACAGAAATATATGGAGTTAATATTTGATTGAGTTAATTAAATTTTAAAGAGGTAAATTTTAACAGGCTTTCTTTCTCCTTAACTTTAGTCAAATCTATTTTTTAAAAACCTTAGCACTGAATTACAGGTCAATTTAAATATTTTTTTACTCTATTGTTAAGCATTTCCTAATGAGAATCTCAAATCAATTCTTTTCCATTTTATTTTAAATGTCACACAGTAAGTAAAATAACAGAAACTATCCTATTGACATATTATTTCTTTGTTTTTATTAAATTTTGAGGTAACTGGTTAATAAATATAAATTTCAGGTATAAGGAATGTAAATTGGTACAGCCACTATGGAAAACAATATGCAGTTTCTTTTAAAAATTAAAAATAAGCCCTGGTTGGTGTGGCTCAGTGGATTGAGTGCGGGCCTGTGAACCAAAGGATCACTGTTCGATTCCCAGTCAGGGCACATGCCTGGGTTGCAGGCCAGTTCCCAGCAGGGGACACAGGAGAGGCAACCACACATTGATGTTTCTCTCCCTCTCTCCTTCCCTTCCCCTTCAAGAATAAATTTAAATTTTTTAAATTAAAAATATAATTACTATGTAATCCAGCAATTCCTTTGCTGGGTATTTAATCCCAAAATAAATTAATTCATATGAAAATGAATTAATTTGTAAAAATTTTATTTGATTCACTCCCAGACTTTGCAGCCAGAAGCCATTTCAAATTACGACATTCTTTTTAATGTTTTCAGGACAGACGTGGCTAGGGCTTTCAGAACAAGTGGTAGAGTATCAGCAGATATTAGTTAACTTACAAACTTTCATTCAAATACCCTTCAGATACCCATGGGACCTGGAGGATAGTACAGCTCCAATGTCAGCCTGAGAGCAGCATCGGTACTGCGCATCATCCCTGCTGCCCTCCACGATGCAGCGACAAGGCAAGGAAAGGGGGACTATAAACCACTGATCTGAACCATAGAAATGGGTTGAAAATAAACTGTGCTGCTGCATTTGTCCCCGAAGCCAAATTTACCTAGCACACACATAAGTAGCCCACTCATTGCATCAAAGGACTTTCTGGTATCTAATAAAATAGCTGCTATTTGTTCCAATTTTCTCTTTGTATTCCACATGAGTTGTGCATTAGCCTATGCAGATTATCTGATGCTTATCTCCCAGGATAAAGCCTAGCTGGATAAGGGCTTATCAGATTTGTGATTATTTAATCATGTAGCAAAAGTTCTGGTCTCTATTATTTTATGCCTACTCGCATTTATAAAAGGATGTTTTTCACAATACTGCTAAGGGGTAACATGCAACGTGGAGGATAGGGCTATGTGGATATATGTAATTGGATAAAGAACTGTAGACTGCCTTGATTCCAAACCACAGATAATATCTGATGCTTTAAAAATTCAATACAAATGATTTAAATGGATTACATTTACTCACAGTCTATTTCTGAAACTAGTGGCTGTTCAGTGTGCTGGTAGCACAAAGAAGTTAATGTGTTGCTAAAAAGAAAAAAGCCCTGAATTTTTATAAAGCTATTTTGAAAGTAACTCAATGCCACAGAAAGTAATATCAAGTATTCTTTGCTTTTCAATTGACATTGTGAGGCTACTCCAAATTTTTATTCTTCAGTTCAGCATCTGCAAAAAAAGGAAGGCACAGAATACCTCACTGGGATATTTCTGGGTATGACAATCACAAAAAATAGTTCTTCAGAACACACATGAAACATTTCAAAGGTTTTTTACCCCAAATATTGACTAACCCTGGGGGGCCCTGGAAGAGGAAACTGCATTGGAAAACTGACCAAGGGAGAATAAAGGTAAAGCCAGTTGATAATCTTGAGAGTTTCTATAACCTATATCCTGTGAGACAGCACAGTACAGGGTGAAGGGCCTGGCCTTTGAACCTACTTTTTTTAAAAAAAGATTTTATTTGTCTCTAAAGAGAGAGTAAGGGAGGGAGAAAGAGACATCAATGTGTGAGAGATACATTGACTGATTGCCTTTTGCACACCCCCAACTGGGGACCTGACCCACAACCCAGGCATGTACCCTGACTAGGAATTGAACCAGCCACCTTCCAGTTCATAGGCTGGCGCTCAATCCACTGACCACACCAGCTAGGGCTGAAACTAGTTCTTAGATCTACCCATTATAACCTCAGCAAACTACAAGTAGCACTAAGCTTGGATTTTCTCATTCACAAAAGGTGATTAAAATATACACCCCTGAAGATGTTTAAAAGATTAAAAAAGATAACATAAATAATGTAATCAAATATTTAATGCTAAATAAAAGTCAGTTGTTTCATTATAAGTATTATTATAAACAGATATATGCACAGTCATATATAAATATTCATATATTTATACATGTAGTTGTACTTTTTCAGTAATCAAAGGAAGATCTAATCCAATGGCACACTGAGCACTCAGAATAGGCTTCATGGCCATATGTTGGGAAAATAATGACATTCAACAAAATGCACTATACAAATTTACTTTGTAATTAATGTGCTCAGAATGAATGCACTTTTTAAGCCTATAATATCTAAAGCCCGGATTTCAAATTAAAAAAAATAATCACACACATAAATATCTTTTCCATTATCATTAATCTTTTACATCAACCTGGTATATCTGATTGAGTCTAAGAGATCCCACTTTTCTTTAAACATATTCATTAAATACAAAAAGATGGTTAATGGGATAGAGGTATAAAACTAGAGTTCTGCCTAGGACTTCCCAATTATAGGAACCCAGTTATACATGCTTGCAAAACAAACAAAGTTAATGAGCAAATAGTTCTAGTGTAAGTGTGCAGAACATAACAAACAGTTCACAAGGATTCAACTTCAACAGAATTTTATATAGTCAGAGTTTATTTTTCTTAAAAGCTTATTTCCAAATAGATATAATCTTTTGAAGTATGCTACATACTTTTTCTTAATAGTTGGAAAACTATGCTTGGACTCTAAGTGAAGTGATTTCTAGAGAAGACACATGATCCAAACCTGAAACTAAAACCCCAAGTACACATACAGAAATGTGTGCAGTGTTCCCAAAATACACATACAGAGGAAGAGACACTTAGTAAATATATTGGGTTTTGGTAATAGTATAATCCACTCTCAGTAGGCAGCTCCCTCTTGTACATTAATATGTGACATCACACTCTCATATAACATTTCATTGCCGAGTGAAATAAAAAGCCCCTCCAGATTGCAACTAGTAAGATAATCAGATTCTGTAATTCTCATTATAACTGCAATTATGTAACAAAACTCTCCAAAAATAGTTCAGTTATTGCAGTTATTAATCATTCTGGTTTTGTTTCAAGTACTTGCTTTATAGTCTGCTGGACAGACTTCATTATTCTACAAGCTGAATGTCGACAGTCAAACATGTGCATGCGAATCTGCTGTTCTAATGGCCTTTCAGCATAATTTACCCTTTCAGTTTGTCACTGTGAATGCAAAAAAGTAGAGAAATAAAACTGGTGTCGTAAGAGTCACCGACCTTTGCAGTAAACAGAAGGTGGTCCTTAACAAAAAACAACTTAGCAAATACAAAACTTTTTTGCTAGAACCAGAAATAGTGCTGCTTAAGAAGTTAGTCTCAGAATACCAATCATTTCTTACAGAAAAAGGTGGAGGAAAACTCTTGAAGAGTCTCTATTTTTATAAGGAGAAAAATGATAAGACGGCCAGCAAATGTGCATTTTTAAAGGTTCAAAGTACCAACATCATGGATAGAATGTATTTCTAAACATTCTATGCATAAAACCAGGTAGACTAATTTAACTACAAAATGCCAAGTAAAAGACATCAGATTTATTATACACAACAAATACCATCTGCACGACCTTAAATCATGGTTATAGATATATTTCTAGAAAAATACACACCTGGAAAATTCTCAAGCCTAATCTCTGAGATGCCAGAGGATTAACTAAACAGGATTCCAAAACACACCCAGAGATAGCAACTCCATAATTATTTAAATGTTGACATGTAGAGAGACCAGAAAATAAATATAATAATACATTGACATGGTTTACAAAATTCACATCACTAATTTCATAGAGTCCATGATTTTTTCAATTTGGCTACATACATTGGGCCCCAGGCTTTGCCCTTTTCTGGAATGACCAAGAGCCCACATTCCTGGCTGGTAGGAGCAAATGTGAAGTCTTGGGAGCAAGTCCTTGCCATTTCTTTAAGGTCCACAGGCATGATGTTACTGTGGGAATTTAAAATTTCACTGATCACATCCTGATTTTCTGCCCTGGACAGAGTGCATGTAGAGTACACCAGCAACCCTCCGGGGCGTAACGCCTTAATTGCAGACCTGCATGTAATCAGGGAAACACATCAGGGCGGTTAGGTACGTGAAAAGCAAACTATGGAGTCTGAGGTCAAGGAAACTTACCTTCATGAAATTAAACTTATGCTGACTCAGACTGTAATAACTTTGGGTGTTTTCTAGCCTTACAATTTCTTTTTAATATATCTGTGCATGGCTAGGAAAATGGTAATCAAATCAATGAACGTGGGAAAGACAGTGTATTTGACTGGTTTGCTGTTTTGTTCTTTTAAGGACAGTAGGATCGGGGTAGAATATGAAATAATAGGTTTGTCTCTGACTACACTGAGTGGTAAGCATGGGCAGGTGGAGTGGAATAGCTGGACTTCAGCAGAGGGGTTAGGGCACAGGCATAGATCAAGTCATGTGAATAAGTAGGATTTCTCGCTTATTCCTAACAATAAAAGTAGACTATAGACAGACACTCAGAGAATGTCTATATTTAAAAGGAGGAGTGGGCTGGGATGGGAGTAAAAGACAGAAAACTATACTTGAACAATAATTAAATAAATTTTAAAAAATAATAAAAGCAAACAGAAATTTGAAAAGAAATTAAGACTTCACCAGATGAAAGTGTAGCTTATGGGAAGAAAGATTTTTGTTGTGTGTCTTTGCTTGTTTGTTTTTGAACGGAAGACCTACACATATTTGCAAATGCAGTTGCGGCAGAGGAGCAGTGTAAGGTTTCAGAGTGCAAGTGGAGAAGTTAGCCCTTGAAGAGATGGGGTTCAGCTCTTCATTGGAAACAGGATGGGAGCATGAACATGGAACCAGGATGTTTTAAGGTAAATGAAGGTTCACAATAAACAGCCTTGATAGAGAGAGGCCAATTAAAACCACAATGTGATACCATCTCACACCTGTCAGAATGGCTATCATCAAAAATCAGCAGACAAGTGCTGGGGAGGATGTGGAGAAAGGGGAACCCTTTTGCACTGGGGTGGGAATGCAGACTGGTGTAGCCACTGTGGAAAGATGTATGGAGATACTTCAAAAAATTAAAAATGGATCTGCCTTTTGACCCAATAATCCTACTTCTGGGAATATATCCAAAGGATCCCAAAATACTAATTCAAAAAAACATAACCATCCCTGTGTTCATTTCAGTGTTACTGATAACCAAACGAGTGTTGGAGAGGTTGTAGGGAAAAGGGGTCCCTAGTTCACTGTTGGTGGGATTGCAGACTGGTACAACCACTATGGAAAACAGTATGGAATTTTCTAAGAAAACTAAAAATGAATGAATCTGCCTTTTGACCCAGCAATTCCACTGCTAGATTATATCCTAGGATTATATACACTGCTAGGATTATATCCTAAAGATATAGGATGTATCCTATATCCCTGAAACACCAATCCAAAAGAACCTATGCACCCCAATGTTCATAGCAGCACAATTTACAAGAGTTGGAAGCCAAGAGTTGGAAGCAACCTAGGTACCCAGCAGTAAATGAATGGATCAAAAAACAATGCTACATTTACACAATGGAATTCTATGCAGCAGAAAGAAAGAAGAAGCTCCTACCATGCTCCTTTGCAACAGCATGGATAGAACTGGAAAGCATTATGCTGAGTGAATTAAGCCAGGCGTTGAAAGACAAATACCATATGATCTCGCCTTTAACAGGAACCTAAACAACAAAACAAAGAATCAAGCAAAATATAACCAAAGACAATGAAATATAGAACAGGCTCACAGTGACCAGAGGGGATAGGGGAGGGAATTTCAGGGGAAAAGGGGAAGGATTTACAAGAACAAGTATAAAGGACACATGGAAAAAACTAATGGGGGTGGATAAGGGAGGGAGGTGGGGAGCACTGGGGGGCGGCTGGGATGGGAGTAAAAGGCATAAAACTGTACTTGAACAATAATTAAGTAAAAAAAAAGATTGTCAAAAAAAAAAAAAGATTGTCAAAAAAAAAGATATGGAAGCAGCCCAAGTGTCCACCAGTAGATGAGTGGATAAAACAACTATGGGACATTCACACAATGGAATACTACTTGGCAATAAAAAATAAGAAAATTTCACCCTTTGCAAAAGCATGAATGGACCTGAGAACATTATGCTAAGTGAAATAAGCCAGTCAGGGAAAGACAAGTACCATACAATTTCACTCATATGTGGAATCTAATGAACCAAGTGAATTAACAAGCAAAACACAGACAGACTCGTAGATGAAGAGCCGGGTGACAGCTAGTGGTGGGGGTGGGGGGAGTGAGTTTGGAGGGTAGGGGGGCTGAGCAAAAAGGAAAAAGAACTCATGAACATGGACATCAGTGTGGTGATTGCAGGGGGCAGGGAGGTGTAAGGGGACTAAATGGTAATGGAAAAAACACAATAAAAATTAAATTAAAAAAAAAGAAGAGTGGAGTGGGAAGCAAGGTCATCCACTGAAACATAAAGCTAGAAAAGCTTTAGTCCAGCTGCTGTGGTGAAACTCCAGAGCAATTACTAACCAATTCCTTAAATACAAGAAAAAAGAAATCATATTCCAGAACCTTTACTGGGTTTAAGAGTATAGTCAGCCCCCTGTCTCACATTTATATTTAAACAATAAGAGCACATCCAAGTAACAGAAGTCTATAAATAAAGATCTACAGAGCAAAAGGTTATTTGCAGATGTGATTAAATTAAGGTTTTTGAGATGTAAAGATCATTCTGGATTGTCGGAGTGGGCCTAATGTAATTACAAAGATCCTTACAAGTGGAAAAGGGAAGCAGGAGAATCAGAGAAAGAAGGGTGATGACTGATGCTAAGGCTGGAATGATAGGCTTGCTGGCCAAAGGCCAAGGAATGTGAGCTGTTTCTAGAATGTGGAAAAGGTAAGGGAATTATTTTGGGCTGCTATAACAAACATACCATAGACTGGGTGATTTAAACCATAAGCATGTATTTCTCACAGTTCTGGAGATTGGGAAGTCCAAGATCAAGTCACTGGCAAGTTTGGCATCTGATGAAGACCTGCTTCTAGGTTCATGGATGGCCACTGTGCCCTCACATGACAAAAGGGCAAGGGAGCTCACTGTAGTCTTTTTTTTATAAGGGCACTAATCCCACTCATGAGGGCTCTACCTTCATAACCTAATCACCCCTGAAATCTCCATTACCTAATACCATCACCTTGGGGATCAGGAGTTTCACATATAAATTTTGGGCCTGGGGGTGGGTGTGGGCACAAGCACTCAGCCTACTGCACTCCCCTAGAGCTTCTAGAAGTAACTGTAGCTCTGCCAGCACCCTGATTTTAAAGCTATGACTTTTAAAAGAAGACTGTGGTAATTTGTTACACAGCAGTAAGAAACAAATGCATACTCAGTGATGGCATTTTTGAATTTTTTAAATAATAATATATTAAGGTATCGGTAGATTTTGCTAAAACTGTATGTTACAACTGTGCTAATTTTGGATTATTTTCTACTGACTACAGTAACGGATAAAAGACTTTCTTTTAAAAAGTTAGATTACTGTGCAAGGGATATATGCAGATTATCTGTAAAATTATAGCATTTGGTCCTAGTTCCACAATTAGCCAAGCCAATGTCTAGCCAAGTAAGTATAATTCTTTCTCATAACAGTTGTACAAAATTACATAGAAGCCTTATCGTTTACAAACAGTATGTTTCTGGCTTGATAAAAATTTAAATTAATTTCTATAATGTTGCCGATGTTGGCTGATTCTTCTGCTTTGTTTTCATTACAATGTTCATAACTTATCTTTCTAAAATGAGGTTGGTGTAACTTAACTGGCCTCATTAATTTCTAAACAAGGAAATTGTTTAGAAAGGCTTTGTTACAAATTGGATTCATCTCAACGCCCTAGAGCAAAATGTCAGTGATTCCTGTCAAATGGTTTGTTGCTGTTTTGCTGCTGATGACTGTTCTTGAAGTACCATTTCTTTCCTTTGGCTTGTAGTAGTGGGAGATTTTAAAAATACCATAATTTGTATTTAAACATCAGCCAAAACAGGCAATGAGAGAAAGAAAAAAACCCTCACTCCCAGGGTTCATAAAGCCATGACCTTTCATGCTAAACATTATTTTATGCCATAAAAGGCATTTTTTCTCATAAATTGAATCAGCCCAATATTGAGGTTACTACTGGTTTTGGAGAAAGTATAAATCTATTTCTATATTAGCATTTACCAATGCATATAAGAGTGTCTTTGCTTCTGATACAAAAATGGCTCTAGGTGCTCAATTTTAATTAAGGCTGGAGTATTTAACAACTCTGTCATTAAATTAGTTCAATGACTTAGAAACCAATACTTCTGGTACAATATTCCATTAAAAATCAAAAGATAAATTTATTATGTGTTTTACAATATACTAAATGAAAATTAGCACATGCTTAAAATACATGGACATAAATGTACAGGACTCTGGCCACTACAGTAGGGCCTAGAATTATTTTATTCCATAACAATTCACAAGTTTTAAAACAGTCCATCAGAATCTAATAACTATTATTATAGGTTTCATCCAAATCATAAAAGGACTATACATGTATTTGCAAGACAGTCAGGTACGAGGTACGAGAAAGGCTGCATTGCTTCAGGAGAAAAATGGCAAGAATTCAAGAGAGATATTGCTTAGCAGTTCTTTTTTTTAAATTTTTTTATTTTATTATTTTTATTATTTTTATTGATTGTGCCATTACAGTTGTTCTATTCCCCCCCTTCATTCCCCTTCACCCTACCCCTCATCCCCACCATTACCCCCCTTTAGTTTATGACCATGTGTCTCAAGTTCTTTAGATTCTATATTTCCCATACTATTCTTGCCCCCCCCCCATCTATTTTCTATCTACTGTCTATGCTACTTATTTTCTGTACCTCAATAAGCCAGGTAAGAAATTTTAAATTCTGGAGAATGAAAAAAAATTTAGAAGTTAGACGTGAGGAGCACTAATACCCTGGAAAAATTGTGGTAACAACCATACAGAAAGATAAGGCAGGATTAGAGAAGAAAAACAAGACTTGTTG